GGGAATGATGGAATGACTCTAACAGAGGCTACGTGCTGCTGAAGATTACAGACACAGATGAGAGGTTTACTCTGACAGTAGGCTATACTCAGGGCCGGCGCCTCTATAGAGGCGACCTAGGCGGCTGCCTAGGGCGGCAGTATAGAGAGGGCGGCATCTGCGACACCTCCCTTACCACCCGCGTCCTCAGATATATCCGCACATAGGGCTGCAGAATTGAGGTCCGCGACACCCGCACTTCCTCAGTTACATCCACGCATAGGGCGGCAGAATAGAGAGCGCAGTGTCCGCGACACCTCCCTCCCTCCCTCCTTCAGCAACCGTGCGTCCTCAGTTATATCCGCGCATAGTGTGCTGAAAAAGAGGTCTGCGACACCTCACTTCATTTTCATAACCGGTCACTTTCATTATCACATTGGGGTTGAGGGCGGCATGATCATCCTCTGCCTAGAGCGGCAGTTCAGCTTGCTCCGGCCCTGGCTATACTTTGTGTTGTTTTGAACCTAATTAAGGATGAAATGTCTGCTTTGTGTAGTTCTTCTGTAGTTGGTAACATATCGGAGACTGTAAGGGTCTGTATGTGTTCATATATCTTCATTTATTTTTTTACTTTATATAATTACAGACGTTACAGTAGGCTATTTCGCACCGTCATTGATCTGCAGTTAAAATCAACTAATGTTCATAGAAAAGTTAGTAATAAACATTTATACACAAGTATTTATGTGTGTAAAGCATCTGTTTTATGAGAAGTGCTTTTCATATGATATGTGAACGACCTGTGCAGCTTTACTGTAGACATTTTCTTGAGCGAAAATGACGTCGACTGAAACTTTGTCATACACCACGCCCACCAAAAGGGTACGCTTGGTAGTGGAAACGCAAGCCTGGTAAAGGTGACCTGTACCGACCCGAACTGTACCAAACTGTACCAGTCAGTGGAAACAAGCCATTTGGTCCAGGGTCAAAACCAAATTTTTAAGCACTGTAAATGAATATACTCTATTCTTTCAAATGCATTATGGGCATCTAAAGTAATTAAGTCCTCTGGATTGGTATTATTTTTAGGTAAATAAATAATATTAAATAAGCAACGAAGGTTGTAAGAAAACTGTCTCCCAACAATAAAACCAGTTTGATCTGGGTGAATTCTCTTTCTCATGACTGACTCCACTCTGATTGCCAGCACTTTAGCAAGGATTTTATACAGCAGAGTAAGCTGATCTGACGATAAGATTTACATTTAAGTGGATCCTTACCCTTTTGAAGAAGTACTGTTATAACAGCCGATGTCATGAAGGGGGGAGTGATTCCGAAACAAGAGCTTTAGCGAATACCTTGCACAACAGGGGTGTTAACTTGGCACAAAACTTCTTATAAAACTCAGCCGGGAAGCCATCAGGGCCTGGTGCTTTTCTGATTTTATTTTTTTTTTATTGTATTTTCAATTTCAGAAGGTGTTAAAATTCCTTCTTTTGTCAACTGATCTGAATCACAGAGGGATGGTAATTCTAAATAATTAAAGCTCTCAATACGTTCAATTTAGTTTACCTCAGAGCTGTAAAGAGTTTTATAGAAGTTTTTAAATTGATCACTAATACCCTGTTGATCAGTAATAATACTACCATCATCCTTACTAACTGCTGCTATAACACCAGCTGCTGAGGATTGTTTCAGTTGGTAACACAATAACCTGCCAGCTCATTCACCATGTTCCTAATGAATCTGGCGTGATCTTATGTGGAGATCCTCAAGGAGTCATTCCGCTTGCAGAATAAGTATTTTCTTATGAAGCTCTTCGGAAGATGATGTTGAGTGTAGCTGATCAATTGTATTTTTTTTTTAGATGCCATTGTCCATTGCCGATGGCCGACAAACTTCACGATGCTGAGCCGGCATCACGATCCATCACCCCGTCCCACATTTATATTGATATATAACTTAATATTTGCATTTCATCTTAATAGCAATAACAGTCTTTTCATGAGCAGTGTTAAATGTTACATATAGCTGCCGCTTGCAGGGCTGACAGCATCGTGAGGATTAAATGAAGGATTATACAGCACCTCTCGCACTTAAATGTGTAGATTCAGTGCCAAACACTGTTACCGGCGGACTTGAAGCCACTAGAAGTCTTTTATCCACTCTTGTAAAAGTGTAAATGGTGGATTAACATTCAGCACATGATCACTAATAAGATGCGCCATTATTAATAACTTTTGGTAAATCTGTATGTTATTTTCATTCTCTCATCTTCAGCGCTTCACATTTTCGCAGTTGTAGCTCCTATCATCTGAAGGCAGAAGGCATTGACTGAGTGATTGACAGCTGATATTAACCAATCATTTACATTCAGTTGTAGAGCAGTGAGCCAATAAGTAGAGCACAAAGGCAGGGAAAGCATTGCAGACTTTTTAACTTAGAGTTCACATAACAACTGTTTTAATCTGTTCCTGGTGCTGCGTTTGACGTTTTTAGGTGCAAAGATGCTTTCTGCATAAATGTCTCCTAAATCTGCGCACGCGGTGAGGATTTTACAGTGAAAACAATGAAAATGTATGCTCTACACTGAACTCAAACCGAACTCTCGTGTTCTCCACCAGCTGTGGGAAAAGCCATTGTAATGACACAGATCACTGTGCCATGCCCGTAGCCAGGGGGTTTCGGGTTGTTCGAACGAACCACCCCCCATGGCCCCCATGTAATTTAATTTAATATTATATAATGCATATTATAATTATTTATATTTAACATATATATTGTAATAAAGTGTAATTTTATATAACTTTGGCCAGTAATTAGAATCCCATTGAGCCTCAAAGCCACAATAAAGTGACGCGACTCTTGTGACATAACCCACTGAGTGGTAACTCTTGAATCTTTGATGTGACATCCTCCTTTGATACCTTACTCTTTGGCTCTCTTCTCTTGAGCCCCTTTCACACATGCAGACCTTTCCGGAAAATTACCGGCAATTTTCTGGAAAGGTTGTATGTGTGAACAGGTCCTTTTTGAAAATACCGGTAAATTCGTTCTGGCTATTTTCCAGAAAGAGAAGTTGTAACATTCCCGGTAATATGCCGGAATGCTGCGCTGTGTGAATGCAGAAGGAAGATTGCCGGAAAGAACGCGTGCACGTCTAGAACGTGCTGACGTGAGACGTCTGCTTGAGCCAATCAGAACAGTCAGACGCGTTTAGTTAGTTAGTCAGATAATGTTTATATGTTCTTCTTAATGCCAACTGTGTAAATAATCACCGATGAGATGCTTATGATAAGCCGCTGTTTGTTTACCTTCACGCATAGCGTGTGCCTGTGAAACAGCCTGTGAGCGCCAGCACACGCACATATTATGAACATCTCGACATGCCAAAGTGATCCTCCATATGTTTTCTTCGAAGTTGTTCACAATACTGATCATCCACAGAGTTTGTAATGTAGTCAAATGTTTACAAATACAAGCGCAGCCGTTTAAGGCTCATTTGTGGTAAATGATGTCAGAATTTACCGGTATTTTGGAATGGATGTGTGAACGGTCTTTTCTGGAAAATTTCCGTAACGTCCTCGCCTGTGTGAACAGCGCTATTTTGAATATACCGGTAAAGTCGTTCCGGAAATTTTCTGCATATTTACCGATATCACTGTGTGAAAGGGGCTTTGATCTGTATTACAGATTATCTCTTGTCATCTGCTTTTATTTGCAGTCACAGAAGCTCTCGTTTCCCTTTTTTCCTGTTTATACCACATCATTTCCCTTCATGTTTGTCAGTATGTTATCGATCATTTCTGTGCATATTATTTTGTTACTCACCCTGTATGTTTCCAAGACCACCAGTGAGTGAGTGTCTGGTTGTTTTTTCCTACGGCACTTCCTCAGCGCTCACCCGACCTGGTGTTTACTTTGACTTTTGCTTTTTCCAAGACTCGCTTCTCAATAAAGACTTGCATTTGAGCTCACTCTTTTTTTTTTTTTTTTTTACTTGTGACACAGGTATTTTCTTTCTCATTTGTGTTTAAAGGTCTTTAGATTTTGGCATGATATCTAGCTTTGAGGCTTTTTTTGGTCTACTTCACTTTGTCAGACAGGTCCTATTTAGGTGATTTCTTGATTGCGAACGTGTGGTAGTATTCAGGTCTGGGTGTGGCTAGAGAACTTGAAGCAGGTGTGATAAATTAAAGTTGTTCTAATGGGAATTTTTTTTTCACACAAGTCTGTGTAGTTCAGTATTTTGTCTTCAATTTAAGAATAAAAACTTGATTTAAAAACTGCACAATGTGTTTAATTGTGTTATCTTTGACTAATATTTACATTTGTTTGATGATCTGAAACAGTTAAGTGTTAGATTTCTGCATTGCATTTGTTACAGATTACATACCTCTAGAACATTTCTCATTTAAAGGTGCAGATTTAAAGCTTTATGCAGATATAATACATGTGTCATATATGTCTATGAGGCAAATATTAGCAGAGATTCAGTTGCTTTTTTTAACAGGTTTACCAGTCAGGCACAGAATGAAAAAGCATTCCATATCTGCTTTACAAGTTTTACAAAAACAAACTGTTTTGTTGTGATTACGAATATATACAAATAGAAACTGGCCATTTACAGCTTTCAAATTTTTGTCCCATCAATATGACCAAAATTAATCTGGGAATAATCATATAAGAATCCGCTTAAATGTGTTTGTGTGTAATGGACACCAGGAGGTAAATATGACAAGATCAATCTAAATATGATCTGCTATGTCTTTACATTTAATGTGCATCAAAATTAAGATTTGTGTAGCCAATGTTTTCACTTCCTTTTCACTGAGTTTTAATGATTTACTAAAAAGTAAACTTATTTTTATTTCAGACCTAATTAAAGACTACGAGGAGAGTAAAGAGGAGGAACATCATGTCAAAATTGAGGACAAAACTCATTTAGAGACTGATTGTGTGTTAAAAGTGAGAGACAAGAGTTGTTTTACCTGCACTCCGTGTGACAAGAGTTTGGCAAGCAAAAGCAAATTAAAGACTCACATGAGGATCCACACTGGAGAGAAACCATTCACATGCACTCAGTGTGGGAAGAGTTTTAGCAAATCATCATCGCTTTATAGACACATGAAGATCCACACCGGAGAAAAACCATTCACTTGCACTCATTGTGGGAAGAGTTTCAACCACTCATCATTCCTTAATCTACACATGAGGATCCACACTGGAGAGAAACCATTAACATGCCCTCAGTGTGGGAAGAGTTTTAGCAAATCATCGTCGCTTTATAGACACATGAAGATCCACACTGGAGAAAAACCTTTCACATGCACTCAGTGTGGGAAGAGTTTTAGCTGCTCATCATCCCTTAATAAACACATGAGGATCCATACCGGAGAAAAACCATTCACTTGCACTCAGTGTGGGAAGAGTTTCAGCCTATCAACATCCCTTAATCAACACATGAGGATCCACACTGGAGAGAAACCATTCACATGCCCTCAGTGTGGGAAGAGTTTCAGCACATCATCACACCTTAAAAACCACATGAAGATTCACACTAGTGTAAAAGAGTATGTGTGCTTGGAGTGTGAGAAGACTTTTATTACAGCTGCAGAATTGAAACGGCACCAGAGGATTCACACTGGAGATAAACCGTACAAGTGTTCACACTGCAGTAAAAGGTTTACTCATTTAGGAACCCTGAAAAAACATCAGAGGATTCACGCTGGAGATAAACTGTAGACATGATAAGTGTGTACTAGTGTTGGGTACCGAAACCCGGTGCCATTATAGCACCGGTACCTTGGTAACTGGTATGTACCGGTATTAAATCAGTGTATGAATTTCGGTGCTGTGGGATGGACGTGAGGGGTGCATGAAAAAAGGCACATATAGGCGTTGCGTCACAGCATCACTAAACATTTAATTCTAAACAACTTTGAGGAATACCGACAGGTGATATCAGGCGATTGTTATTGTCGCCAGGGAACAGATGCACGCAACGTTCAGAGTACAGAGCATTTAGCCTGGAACCAGTGGTTTTCGGTGAGCGAGAGAGACACTCTTCAGATCAACATGCGTGATCACGTTCATCCAATTTGCTTAAACTAAGCATTCTAAAGCGTATTTTACAAGCAAGGATTCTTACACAGCAACTGTCTTTACAAAAGTGTGTGTAAGGGGGAAACATGTCAAACTTAATGACACATTTGGGGGCTCAAAGGCAGAGCCTCTCTCGCGTGCTTTAGCTCCCTCCGGCACTCGCTTATGCTCGCTCCCTCTGTTTTCTTGGCACTATGCTATCTCTGTGACGGCGCTGCGCGCATCAGCTCCCCGCACTCGTCAGAAGTTGATGCCCAAATTGACACAGGGAATAAAAAAATTAAACTTCAGTTATGTTCATGTTGTGAAACACTATCAAAATGTCCACTGTTGATGATATTAGACTTCTGTTTTCAATAGCGATTTTAACTCTTAATATAGGAAGTCCTCTGCTATGCAGAGACCATTATTAATCAGAAATCTAGTGTACATAATTTAACATTAGGAAATGCAGTCTTGAATTTAAAATCAGTCAGCTTTTATTCATGAAATAAACAATAGGAAATAGGACTTATTTTGACTCCAGAATAATTATGTTTTAGGAAACACTGTAAAAGTTTTCAGAAAGAATATTTTAAATGAATGGGAGAGCAAAATAAAACAACTTCAACTGTAGGCCTGTTAAAGTTTACAGGTGCAGCAATGTGCCATGATGTACTTGAATGTTAGAAATGTGTTCTCCTTCATCAGTACAACGTTGCTTGTCAAATAAATGAACAAGGAAGATTATTTTGAGTAAGTTATTTAATTATCTTGTTTATGAAGACTGCAGAGTGATGCATGAAAATAAATGACTTCCAAAAATGTTTTAAGTATTTTGTGATATATATGTTTAAATGTGCTCCTAAAAGTATGTGGCCCCTGCCCGCCCCCCACAGGTTAATAGTAAGCTAATGTAATTTCATAATGCAAATTTTAAATTCATGCTTACCAACAAATGATCAAAGGAAATGTATTAATGTAATACAATATTAACTGATGTTTACTTTAAACTGTAATTATATTGTTCTATTAAAATAATTTTTTAAAAATAATTTGTCAAATAAAATATTTTTGAAGAGTCGTCCACCATCATTTTGTGGCTAAAAAGTGTCGATTCAGGCACCGTTTTGGCACCAGTATCGTTTTAAAAGTAGCAATTTAGCACCGGTATCGAAAAACCAAACGATACCCAACCCTAGAGTTTCACTCATTCGGGGCAGCTTAAGAAACACATGGGATGGTTTCCGGTATTGTGTCGACACATGTACCAGCATAGAAATAGCGCTCCCATACACACTGATATTAATGTACCAAAATGTTTTGATATCTATATATCAAAAAAGTAAATACATTGTACTTACGGTGTTCATAATGTCTTTTAGAACAATTCTGATACTCTGAAGGTGAAATACAGCTAAGGTGGAGACAGGTTTGGGGGTATGGATAGGTTTAGGGGTGGATAAAGGTGTAATTAAAGTTTAATTCGATTAACCAATCAAAAGTGCAATGTAAAAAGTAATATTCACTAAATTGTATCATGTGTCACAATATACACAGTAACTATATTGAAATAAATTAGTTAAAGCACTTAATAAAAAGGGGGATCAATCTTTTTCTTACATTTGTTTCAGTTTTTACTTTGGTGTAATGTATATGTAACTTTAATGTATATACAGAAATACCTTTTTGTATAGCACTCCATAAAAGGTATTAATTTAAAGAAAAAATCTCTGAGAGGGTATATTAATTTCCGCTGAGCACTGTGTGTGTGTGTGTTCTGCACTTATTTCTACATTAATTAGTACACTTCTCACAAATGTCTTTTAAAGTTTTGCCTTGTGTTATACTGTGCCTACACATAGCTTACTATTAAATTGCAGAGTGAAAATGTATAAATGTGTTAGTTTGTGTTCTGTGGTACAAACATTTGAAAAATAATAACACTTTTGTATGTATATTTGCTGCAAATGCACACTTTAATGGCTCTGATGTGAGCCATAAAACTCCTGAAGGACCAGAAATGCATTTATTACATTTAAATCATTAATATATATATATATATATATATATATATATATATATATATATATATATATATATATATATATATATATATATTTTTTTTTTTTTTTTTTTTTTTCAAATACAAACATTCAAACAATTTTGCCGAGTGATTTAGTGGCTGCAGATATGACGTAGATGAAAAAACTGTAAGTGGTTATCTTTGTGCGTGGAAGTCTTTACTCTAGGTTAACAGAAAAATGTATTATAATACAATTCTAAAAATAAAACAAAATACAATGTCAAAATGTGGGTTTAAACATGTGCTGAGTTAAAGTAGATTTAAAACAACAAACAAAAAATAAGACCTGCACTGAAAAAAGCTACAACAGCAGTTTTTTATAACCCACTGTATTTTACAAAAAGTGATTTAATGGCTCCCAGGAGTCTTTCCATTTCATCCCACTGTAAATCAGTAAAAGACATTTAATTATAATTATGTTTACAGGATAGTCTGTGATATTTAAATTAACATAATTTTAAAAAGTAATTTGCTGCAAACACAGACATATTAGTTAAAGATTATTACAATTTTAAGCTTTGAAAAAAGGTTCTCTTCACTTTACATTATTATCTACAAGAATAATTGTTTACATTAAAAAACTTTCATAGTTTGTTCAACATATTTCCACCACTGTATGACAGAATCATATTGTGTGTTTGTGACACTTACCATGCAGAACACGGCTTCCATCTGACTTTGGCCTCTTCAACACCCTTTAAGAACATGAGCATTGAGCAACATTAACTGTTAGTACTGAGTGACTAGAATTATTTGAACATTTAGCATAATTGTTTGACCTAGCCACAACGATATCTATTAAATGAAATATCTAGAAAGTCAGCATAATTGTCTATAAAACTTTTCACTGTCAATGTCACTCAATCAAGTACTTTCAAAGAAGCAGTTAGAATGGCTTTGGTTGTAGAAGGCATTGAAAGCAATGTTAAAGTTGCCTGGAAACGTGCTGACACAATGCCTGACATACCATGTTACGCACATACCAAATATTACAGTTAACAGTGGATCAAACCAGTAGGAGTAAATTCATGTTATATTAGTTGTGATCAGATTAAAATGATTGTGCTCATTATGAAATTAAATTATGTTTTAGAGGAAAAAAATCTATATTTTTAGATATGCCTGGTGTTCTAATGATTTCAACTACCACTATAAATACCCACACATTATAAGCTAAATCACGCTTAAATTAAAAAGAACTACAGGATAAATCTTTATATTTTTAAAAAATTATATTTTTTTACTTAAGTAACTTCAAACATAAATAAGTGGTCTTACTTCTTTGGACATCCTCCTTTTCACAATCCTGTCATATGGAAAGGTTTTCTGGTTGGAATGTACTTGGCATTCTGCAGCAGAAATATATAGCTCTTACTTACAAAAAATACTTAATATTGCAGGAAAGTTCAGAGAGCAATGAGTCTGATATAAATACTGTGAAACCTGAAAATTTGAAATGTTAACTGCTTTCACTCATTAAACATTCTTTTTTTTAAATAGTTTTATAGTTTTAGTTTTATATTCAAATTTTAATGTGAATTTTAATTTATAGTAACATTTACATTTACACCAAATGAGAGAACAGCATATTTTGTATTGCATATTTCATACACATCTTTTTTATCTGTTTTACTGTAAACAATGTGTAGAGTATAACATCAACTTTGGGCAATGCAATGGCGCAGTAGGTAGTGCTGTCGCCTCACAGCAAGAAGGTCGCTGGTTTGGCATTTGTGTGTGGAGTTTGTATGTTCTCCCTGCGTTCACATGGGTTTTCTCCAGGTGCTCTGGTTTCCCCCACAGTCCAAAGACTTGCTGTACAGGGGAATTGGGTAGGCTAAATTATCAGTAGTGTATGTGTGTAAATAAGTGTGTATTGATGTTTCCCAGTGAAGGGTTGCAGCTGGAAGGGCATCCGCTGCGTAAAAAAGTGCTGGATAAGTTGGCGGTTCATTCTGCTGTGGCGACTGTGGATTAATAATGGGACCACACCAACACGGGGAGAGCATGCAAACACAGAAACACCAACTGATCCAGGCAGGACTCAAACCAGTGACCTTCTTGCTGTGAGGTGACAACTCTACCTACTGTGCCACCGTGTCACCTATATTATATTATATTAGAATTATTATATGATAATTCATAATTTTACAATAATACTATATATTAAATTATACTCTTAATAATTTATTTACTCATTGTCATATAGTACTATTAAATGCAAGGCAACATAGAAAAGAATTGAGGAAACAAAAAAAATAATAATATCAAATATTACATTATATAGTTTTTAATGTAACAAAGTTTATATGCATACAATTATTCAGATAATATTCAGAATCTGCTATTTATTTATTTTTTCAGAACAGCAATATGGCATTACCTGCTTGTTTGTAGATCCACTTCTTTTGTTTGTCCCCTTTTATGATACTTTCTCTGGAGAATAAATCTGTAAAAACACACAAAAATAACACATACAGTTGAAGTCTGAATTATTAGCCCCCCTGAGTTATTGGCCTGCTGTTTATTTTTTTATTTCCAATTTCTGTTTAATGTAGAGCAGATTTTTTTCAACACATTTCTAAACATAATAGTTTTAATTAGTCATTTCTAATAACTGATTTATTTTATTGGTAACACTTTACAACAAGGTTCATTAGTTAATGCATTTACTAACATGAACTAATCATGAACAACACATGTACAGCATTTATTAATCATAATTAAACATTTACTAATGCAATATTAACATTCAAGTCCATGTTTGTTAACATTAGTTAATGCACCATGAGTTAACATGAACTAACAATGAACTACTGTATTTTCATTAACTAATGTTTTTTAACAATAATAAATACTGTAGTAAATGTATTGTTCAATGTTTGTTCATGTTAGTAAATGCATTACTTAACATTAACTAATGTACCTTATTGTAAAGTGTGACCCTTTTATCTTTGCTATGATGACAGTAAATAATATTTTACTACATATTTTTCTAGACACTTCTATACAGCTTAAAGTGACATTTAAAGGCTTAACTAGGTTAATTAGGTTAACTAGGCAGGTTAGGATAATTAGGCAAGTTATTTTATAACGATGGTTTGTTCCATTGAAAAAATATATAGCTTAAAGGGTCACGAAACACCAAAACACATTTTTTGAGCTGTTGACAGTCGTATATGTGTCCCACACTGCTAAAAACACTATTAGGACACCCATATTTCACTAAAAAGTGTAAATTGGTTGTTTTTGCGTTATTTCAAGCAAATTCGTACTTCCTGTTTGAAACGAATTTTTGAAGCTGCGTCACGGTCATGACATAATAGCGTTGTATTCCAGCGTGCAGACTGGACGTCTGTGCCAGAGTGTGTCTTATTACGTCTTACAGTGTGATACATTAATGCATGAGTAAGGCTTGGTTCAAACCAATCAGCGCGCTCTACTGTGCAACTTCATTAATATTCATTTGTGTCACCGTGTTTACACGACAGAGACGCTACGTTGTGTTGGCAAAACAAGCGTGAAGTGTTGCTTTTATAGTTTGCTGCCGTTAAGTTTTGTTTTCATTTTCTCTCTGTGAGAGCTTATCTGGATCACGTGTGGATTAACAGTGTACGCGACGCTCGACAACAATAACTTACGTGTCTAAGGAGGATTATTGTTTACCTGAGAGCTGTTCTCATCTGCAAACGCTGAAATCTGGATTCGCTTGTAGTATTCTCTCCATATAGACGCGGCTCTAGTTGCTGGGGATTGTCCTGTCTCTAGAGATTTGGTAAGTGAGCGACCAGTGCTCTTTGTTTATTCAGTTTGTTCGTATCGAATTAAGTTAACTATTGCACTGAGTGCAGAAATGTTAGCACCGCATTTTGTGACCGGAATAACACACGCGGCTTTCTGACACTACCTGCCGTATGCATCTAAGTTTCCGGGAAATGCGGAGGTTTTTTTTTCTCTCATTCGCCGTGCGGTATCAAACATTGCATGAAAAATACACGCTTAGAGCAGTTCCTCGAATCAAATATCTCGTTTGTCGCGAGGGGCATGAATGAATTCCCTGAATGAAAGAGCCAAACTGCAGTTAAAGTCCACCATTTAATAATTTGGCAAATAATTCGACTACAGATGTCCATGTAGGTTAAACACCATCACTTTCTCCTGTCTGTGTGGGTGTGTATTTTGACTCTGAAACTCGCGCATGCACAAATAGACACTCCCACACCATCCCACTTTAGTTCCTCCGACATTCCCCCCTAAACAGAGCTGGACACGCCCACTTTTCTGACTTTTTCCAAAGTAGAGGTGTGAAAACACCCTGCTGAAACGAGGGGTTTCATGGCCCTTTAAAAGGGGCTAATAATTTTGTCCCTAAACTGGTTTTAAAAAATTAAAATCTGCTGTTATTCTAGCCGAAAATAAACAAATAAGACTTTCCCCAGAAAAAAAAAAACACTATCAGACATACTGTGAAAATGTCCTTGCTCTTTTAAACATCCTTTGGGAAATACTTTAAAAAGAAAAAAATTAAAAGGGGTCAAATAATTCAGAATTCAACTGTATTTACACAACTAATGTTTTAATTTTAAATTTCTATATATATTGTTGTCCCAACTAAAATGGGAAAAATGCTGTGTAAAAGTTCAAATAAAGTCACCTGAATCACCGGAATCTGTAGTCATGCACTGGACTGCAGGACTTGATAGAGAGGAAGTAGGTGTAGTAGTGAGGGAAGTAGGCGGTGGAGCAGGAAGTGTTTTGTAAGAAGAGGCAGGTGGAAGAGGGGTGATGTAAGAGGAGGTAGGAGGACTGAAGCTTGAGGAATTAGTTGGAGGAATAAGGTTGGAAGATAAAGGTGGAGAAGCAGATGAAGGAGGAAAGCTGGAAGAAGATTGTGGAGGAGGAAGATTTGGGAAAGATGGTGGAGAAACATCAGATGAAGGAGGAAAGCTGAAAGAAGACTGTGGAGGAGAAAGGTTTGGGAAAGATGGTGGAGGAACAGCAGATGAAGGAGGAAAGCTGGAGGAAGTTTGTGGAGGAGAAAGGTTTGGGAAAGATGGTGGAGGAGGAAGGCTTGAGAAAGATGATGGAGGAATAGAAGCTGGAGGAGAAACGGATGATGGTAGGTTTTGGCAGACATCAGGGTCTGTTGCAGCCAAATTCTGAAACCTCTGGAAATCTATGAACAATTTTAAAATAAAGTTAGAGATTTCTTTGAAATTTTATGAATTTTGTAATCAAATGACCACAATACTTACTTTTAATAAAAACTTCGTACAGGCTGGCCATTTTATCTATAATTTTTTGCTGTGGTCCCTCTCCAAATGGACCAATTGTTGTTATTAGCTCTGCGTTGAATCCTTTTTTTTTTTTCTTTCGAAATAAACAACAATGGCTTGTAGCCCAGCATTTCCAATTTCTTAACCTGAAAAAAAAAAAAACATAAAAACAGTATAGAAAAATGCAATATAATCATAATATTAGCAGAGACATCCCAGATACATTTGTAGCAAATCTGCATTATCAAAGTGAAAGATTTCTGAATCGCCAAAATAAGTCTTTGTTTTCAGAATCTTTTGCCTGCAACTGATCTATGTGAACACAATCAAATTAATACATTTGCATAATCTCTGCCACAAATGCTCCGAAATGTTTATGTCATGTACTGCAGTACATATGTAAAGTAATGAAAAAAAAATTCCAACCTTAGATCTTTTTAAACAACTTTAGAGAAACATAATATTACACTTTAAAATAACACAAAAGCTGCTCGTTAAATGATCATGATAGAAAATTGATTAGAATAAATTATAATCTTCTGATAAAACAACACTTGCTGTTGTGGATCTTAATGATTAACTGCATCGATAGCTAAAAATCTAAATATGATCAGTTAAAGGGCCATGAAACCCCCTCGTTTCAGCAGGGTGTTTTCACACCTCTACTTTGGAAAAATTCAGAAAAGTGGGCGTGTCCAGGTCTGTTTAATAATAATAATTCCTTACATTTATATAGCGCTTTTCTGGGCACTCAAAGCGCTTTACACAGTGGGGGTAATCTCCTCATCCACCACCAGTGTGCAGCATCCACCTGGATGACGCGACGGCAGCCATTTTGCGCCAGACCGCACACCACACACCAGCTGATTGGTGGAGAGGAGACAGTGATGCAGCCAATTGAATATGGGGATGGTTAGGAGGCCATGATGGACAAAGGCCAGTGGGCAGATTTGGCCAGGATGCCGGGGTTAAACCCCTACTCTTTTTCGAAGAACATCCTGGGATTTTTAACGACCACAGAGAGTCGGGACCTCGGTTTAGCGTCTCATCCGAAAGACGGCGCTCACTGAGCAGTATAGCGTCCCCGTCACTATACTGGGGCATTAGGACCCACACAGACCACAGGTTGGGCGCCCCCTGCTGGCCTCACTAACACCACTTCCGGCAGCAACCTAGCTTTCCCATGTGGTCTCCCATCCAGGTACTGACCGGGCGCAGCCCTGCTTAGCTTCAGTGGGCGACCATGTGAGAGTTGCAGAGAGCTAGCTGCCGGCTAAAGGGGGGAGTGTCGTAGGAAGAAAAAAGGCTTGGTATGGGAGTGTCTATTTGGGCGCCCTGAATTTCAGAGTCAAAACACACACCCACAGCGGACAATGTGACTGTGTTTACATGGACATCTGTAGTCAAATTATTTGCCAGATTATTAAATGGTGGACTTTAACTGCAGTTCATTCATGTCCCTCCCGACAAACGTGATATTTGATTCGAGGATCTGCTCTAAGCGTGTATTTTTCATGCAATGTTTGATACCGCACGGCGAATGGGAGAAAAAAAAAACTCAGCATTTCCCGGAAACTTAGATGCACACGGCAGGTAGTGTCAGAAAGCCGCGTGTGTTATTCCGGTCACAAAATCCAACACGAGGTTATAGTTTGGTTGTAACTGTTAGTGCAAACTTGTTTACACTCGGTGCAATAGTTTGTTTGATACGAATAAAATACGAACTGAATAAACAAAGACACTGGTCGCTCACTTACCAAATCTGTAGAGACAGGACAATCACCAGCAACTAGAGCCGTGTCTTTATTTAGAGGAGACTACAAGCGAATCCGGTGCCCGCAAATCCGGGTGTGTCCGCATACGCTGTTAGCGGATACGCTTCGTGGAGGGGAACTGGAATTCCAGAAGGGAACAGAATCGACTGCTACACCAGATCTCAGCCTTTGCAGATGAGAACAGCTCTCAGGTAAACAATAATCCTCCTTAGACACGTAAGTTATTGTAGTTGCGCGTCGCGTACACTGTTAATCCACGCGTGAGTCTCCGCTCTCACAGAGAGAAAATGAAAACAAAACTTAACTGCAGCAAACTATAAAAGCAACACTTCACGCTTGTTTTGCCAACACAACGTGGCGTCTTTGCCGTCTACACTCTTGACAGTAATGAATATTAATGAAGTTGCACAATAGAGCGCGCTGATTGGTTTGAACCAAGCCTTACTCATGCATTAATGCATCACACTGTAAGACATAATAAGACTCACTCTGGCACAGACGCCCAGTATGCACGCTGGAATACAGGCTATTATGTCATGGCCGTGACGCAGCTTCAAAAATTCGTTTCAAACAGGAAGTACGAATTTGCTTGAAATAACGCAAAAACAACCAATTTACACTTTTTTGTGAAATAATGGTGTCCTAATAGTGTTTTTAGCAGTGTGGGACACATATACGACTGTCAACAGCTCAAAAAATGTGTTTTGGTGTTTCGTGACCCTTTAATATAGTCAGACCTGACATGAATACATTTGTTCAGAAATACATTTTTGATTTAGTTTTACCTAATAATGACAACATAATTTTGTATACACTATGCCTCTGTACTAAAATAATGTACTTACAGCAGTGCGGGCAGAATCTACAACACGGGCAGCATTCCTGTGTTTTTTGTTGTTTGCTGCCCATGACGACTCCTCAATGTTTTTTTGTTTTGCCATGATGCTTGCTTTTAAAGCAATGGCAGCAAAACAATTTCTGCACGTTTTGCAGTTTGAAACATTTAAAGCCCCACAATTATGGCAAGGCTTTTGCTTGGGTTTTTTCATTCTCTCTGGAAGGAAACAATATATATATATAAATATTAATCATAGACAAAATACATTTTCATTGAAAACACTGTATCTTAAAGTTTTTTTTAAAAAATACAATAATAGAGAAGATTATTTACAGGCTATAAAACACATTTTATGTAACGTTATATGCACATAGAATAATTTAACATATTTAATTACTCAATCATTTAATATATAAATGTATAAATTATTTAACAGACAAAGACATTTTTAATGTAATTAGTAAGTAAAAGTAAACTATGGAACATTATGAATTCAATGAACTCAAAATAGCAATAGAAATTATTAATTAAAATTGCATATATATATATATATATATATATATATATATATATATATATATATATATATATACATACACATAGCTTTGGATAAAAGCGTTTGCTAACGTTAAATGAGTAAACGTATATGTAAATATCTTGTCAGATTAAGCTAAATTGTCTGAATAAACTTGCCTACCAAGACTGTTTGTAAAGTAACGTTAATAAAGTAAGTTATTGCCTAACATGTTAACATATGAACTTGGTCTGAAGTCAAGCAAGATTAGCACTTAATTTTAACGTGTATTATCAAAATATAATAACCTAGATATACATGTGAGCAATGCACATAGACAAACATGGTGTGAAGAACAGAATTTCTTTATTTAATTTAATGAATAAGTGTACATTAACTTACTGCTAAAAGCGGGATCAGTACGGCGATGGATGGATGTTACGTAACGTGACACGATTTCCCGCTTGCTTTTAGGGAAATGTGGAAAAATAAATATTTTATTATAAAGTGTTTTTATTTTCATTTCTTGATTGTAAAGCAGCTGGAATATTGTTTGTAAAAGTAACATGAAAAAAAAAATTGTGTTGATTTTTTGTCAATAGGGATTTCGGTTACATTTTTATTGGCCATCATAATAAGACTTCACGATAATAAAGTATAATGAAATGTTACGAAAATGGTAACGACAACCAAAATCATTAAAAAAGAGCAACGTCAACAAAATCTTTAAAATTACAGATCAAATTAAAGTGTAGATGTCCAAAAACAACAATAAATCGAATATATATATATATATATATATATATATATATATATATATATATATATATATATATATATATATGTAACCCTCTTCGTTGGTGTGCTTCCCCAAAATGTCTCTGCGTTGTGTATGTGTGATAGGATATACAGGAAGGACACCAAGACCGTGGTTGAGCCAAACAGAGCAGCTTTCCCTTTAATGGACTCCTCTCTTCATTTTGTCACTTGTACAGCAGAAATGGCACTGCAACATCTTTCCCACAGGGAAACACAACTCAGTACATCACAACATAATTACAAAGTGTACAAATGATCAAAAATAAATGATGTAAATGCTGCAGCTACATAACTAGTAAGCTAGCTGTTCACAAACTAACTTAAACACTGAAAAGATAAACTAGAACATATGACAGGCAATTATAAATGTTAAATATATTCAGGATATAAAGAACCAACCAAATAACATGTATTATCAAACCTAAAACAACATAAAATATGCTATGCCGCATGGAAATAACTAAAATATCAGAAATATCAGAAATATAAGTCAATCTATCAAAAATAAGGACATCTACACATTAATTAATGCCTAAACTATAACATATCTCATAAAATAACATGGATGGCAAATATTATTGACGAAATTAAACAGATTATGTGTAGAGCTGAATCAATGCTCCTTACCTTTCCCACAGGGAAACACAACTGAGGCCAAAGAGCAGCCCATCTCCCTAACACAACACACAGCTCCCCCCGGAGGAAAGGAAGAGATATTACATATTCCCTACACCCACCCCCTCTTTGATTGATGGCGTCACAGCCATTATTCAATTCACCCCTCCAAAAATTTTTAAATAAAGTCAAATAAACACATTAAGAAGTCCTTTTCAGTGAGTGTGTATTGTGTGCATGTCTATATGTAGTGTTGCTAAGGCACAGCTTCTCCTTCTTCGCTTTAGCCTTTTCCCACACTTTCCTTCCTCTTTCAATCTTTTCATTGTCACTTTCTCTTGTGAAGACTCGCAGCTCCAAAGAGAGTCTATTTGGAGGGCGTCTTTTCCGCTCAGGATATCTCCGTTCTGGCTTTCTGATTTCCGGAACTTCCAACAGTGTATGCTCCTCGTGTCCACTTTCCATTTCACCTATTGTTTCTTGCAAAGGACTCACAGTCTCTTCTCCTTCTTCCACAATGTCCACAGGTTCATTGCTCGAAGACAAGTTTACAGAACCATCCACTCTTTTGTCTATTTTGTCCAAATCCACCTCATTCTCATCAGAAACATCATCAGGTGCCTCCACTTCATCCTGTCCTTCACTTTTGTCTATTTTCTCCAAATCCACCTCATCCTCGTCAGAAACATCATCAGTTGTCTCCACTTCATCTTGTCCCTCACTTTCAGACTCTACTTGATCTTGGTAGGTCTTTTCAATTGGGAAGAACATGCACTGAGTTAGAAGATTGCGGTGGACCACTCTTTCCTTGTCACCATCTTCTGATCGAACAACATACACTGGAATTCCTGGCTGTTGCTTTACCACAACATAAGGATGGGGCTCCCACCTATCAGCCAGCTTCTGCTTCCCTTCTACATGACATACTTTGACCATCACTCTGTCACCAGTTTCAAACACGTAATCCTTCACTTTTTTATCATAGTGCTTCTTCTGTAGATCCTTAGCATGCCTTGACATCTTATCTGCCTGATCATATGCAAAAGTCAAGCTCTCACGCAGATTTTGGACATATTCACTGGACTCACATTGCCCTTTGGTGGTAGACAACCCAAAAACAAGATCAACTGCGAGTCTGGGATGTCTGCCATACATCAATAAGTATGGGGAGAAACCTGTTGAATCATGTTGAGTACAGTTGTAAGCAAGAGTCATTGCATCAACATATTCATGCCACTGAGGTTTTTTCTCAGGATCAAGAGTTCCCAACATATTCATGAGAGTTCTGTTGAACCTCTCCGTAGTCCCATTCCCCTGTGGGTGGTAAGGGGTGGTATGAGTCTTTGTGACTCCAATCAGCTTGCACAGTTCCTTTACCACTGCACTCTCAAAATTGCGCCCCTGGTCTGCATGGAGTCTTGCTGGGAAACCAAATCGACAGAAAAAGTTCTTCCACAGCACCTTTGCCACTGTGACAGCCTTCTGATCTCTTGTGGGGTAGGCCTGGGCAAATCTTGAGAAGTGATCAGTGACCACCAGGACATTCTCAAAACCTCCCCTAGACTTTTCCAGGACCAGGAAATCAATGCATAAAAGTTCCATAGGTGCATTAGTGTGAATGCTCACCAACGGAGCTCGCTTTCCAGCAGTTGGAGTCTTCCTTAAACAACATCTTTCACACTGCTCACACCAGGACTTCACATCACAGTGCATTTTTGGCCAATAAAATCGCTCACGGAACAAAATCAGGGTGCGCTCAAAACCTAAATGACCAGCATCATCATGAAGACTTGTCCTAGCCACCTCTCGCATTTTTTCTGGCAAGACCAGCTGATCAATAGTCCTTCCCTGACCACCTTGAACTTGTCTGTACAGAATTCCATCTCTGACCACTAACTTCCTCCACTCTTTTAGAAGAAGCCGTGTTTGTTTTCCTTCCTCCAACCTCTTCCCTCGCTGTGGCTTACAATTCAATGTTTTAAAATACAGGACTGGACCAATAACAGGGTCTTGTTTTTGACATTGCCTGATCTCCAGCTTCGTCATCGCAGGGAGTGCATCCGTTCCCGCTCCTTCAAATCTGTCTGCCCTCTCTCCAACCTCCTCCAGAGTCTCCCCTTGCCTCTCAATTGCCACCTCATCTTGCACACCACCACCTGCTTCCCGCTCCCCTTGGCCAGTGTTACTATTTTCTTTAATCCCCTGAGGAAGGATCCGTTGAGGACAGGACTGGAGGGCTTTTGCGACTTCTTGGCTAGACATTCTTGACAGTGCATCGGCATTAGAGTTACACTTTCCTTGCCTATACTGGATGTCAAAGTCAAATATGGCAAGCTGTGACACCCAACGTTGGCCTGTGGCATCCAATTTGGCTGTGCTCATCACATATCTGAGTGGGTTGTTATCAGTCAAAACAGAGAATGTATGTCCATAGAGATGATCATAAAATTTGTCAGTTACAGCCCACTTCAGAGCCAAGAACTCTAACTTGTGCGCTGGGTAGCGGGTTTCTGGTGGACTCAAGCCCCAGCTCCCATAAGCAATCACTCGCTCTTCACCATCTTGAATTTGGGCAAGGACAGCCCCAAGACCATCCCTGGAAGCATCAGTTTGCAACAAAAATGGTAAACTGTAGTTGGGGTAGCCCAAAATGGGAGCAGTAGTCAGCTTCTCTTTTAATGTCACAAAAGCTGCCTCACATTCGACAGACCACTCAAATGGTTTAGGAGGGCGAGGTGGTCCCTTTACCCCTCTTTTTTTCCTGCACTTAGGGTCTCCAGATGTCAGAGCATACAAGGGAGCTGCCAGTGCAGAATACCCCTTGATGAATCGTCTGTAGTACCCTGAGAAACCAAGAAACCTTAGCACTTCCTTTGCAGTTGACGGCCTCTTCCAATCCCTGACTTTACTTATCTTCTCAGGATCAGTCCGTATACCCTCCGATGACACTACATGGCCAAGGTACTGAACCTCTTTCCTCAGCAGGCAACACTTTGTAGGGTTTAGTTTTAACCCATGTTTGCGGAGGCGGTTGAACACTTCCTCCAATCTTTCAAGGTGCTCATCGAATGTTCTAGAGAAGATAATTATGTCATCAAGGTAGATCAGGAGGCTCTCAAAGTTTAAGTCACCAAAGCAGCAAGTCATCAATCTTTGGAACGTTGAGGGAGCATTTTGTAGACCAAAAGG